AAATAACAGAAACCACAGAAAGGAGGGAAAAGGAAAAGGAAGAACTGAGGATAACAAAAGGAGAGGAATCAAAGGGCGGGCGGCGGAAATTCCGAGAAGGGAAAAAAAAACGAGAGAAACAAAATAAAAAAAAAATAAAAAAAACCTAAAAAAAAATTAAAACGCCACCAAAAAAAATAAAATCCGCCCGAAAAGGAAAAAGACGATAAAAAATAATTAAAAAAAAAATCCGAGAGATATAAAAAAATAATTAAAAAACAAAAAACACTCGAATGATTAAATTTAAAAAAAAAAAAAAACAAACCACCCGAAAAATAAATGACAAAGCGAAGAGCCGCCCGCGCCCGAGCCGCGCTCCCGGCGGCGCCGCTCCCAACAACGCTACGGCGCCGCGGCCGCTCCCAACAAAGCGCTGCGCGCTGCCCCGCGCCGGGGGGGGATCCCGAGGCTCCCGAGTGCGGAGCGCGGCGCGGGGGGGGCGGCCGCGTCCATGCGCCGCGGCCCCGGCGGCCGCCCCCGGTTCAGCCGCGTCCCGGAGGAGCTCCGCGGGTCATGGCGGGGCTCCGTGCGGCGCTGGGCGCGGTGCGGTGCGGTGCCGTGCGGCGCTGCGCTGCGCGCTGCTCTCCGCGCCTCCGTAACGCGGCGCCCCGCGCACTGTGCGCCCGGAGCACGCGGCCCCGCGCCGCCGCCAGAGCGCTCCGCGCGCCCCCCCCCCGCCTCACCCCCCGCCCTCCCCTCGAAAGCGGGCGGAGCCACGCGCGGCCCCGCCGCTCCGGTCCAATGGCCGCGCGCCGGACCCACGTGGGGCCGGAGGGTGCGCGCGCGGATTGGCCGCCCGTCCCGCCGACGTCACAATGGCGGCTTGTGTCTGGGAAGCGCGGGATGCGCCGCCCGTGCGCCGCGCGCCGCCGTCGCGCCCATCGGCGCGGCCCAATGAGGCGGCGCGGAGCCCCGCGTGGTTCTCGCGCCCCGCTCCGCAGCGCCCCGCGCTGTTCGGCCCCTCGGTGCCGATTCGGTTCGAACCCTTTCGGCCGCTTCCTCCCCCACCCCCCCCTCCGTCTGTAATGGTCGGGGCCGCGGGGGGGGGACACAAAATGGCTCCCGCCCCCCTCCGCTCGCCCCCTCCCCGCGCGGCCCCACGTGGGACACGGCCCCGCCCACCCCGCCGCCTCCAACCGATGAGCGCGCGGCGCCGCGCCCTCCCGCCGTCCCATTGGTTCCGAGCGGCGCGCCGTCGATCAAAGCCACGTGGGAGCGGCAGCCGGGCGGCGGCTGCGGGGGGGACAAAGGGAAGGGGGGGGGCGGGAGGGGGAGGGGTTTGATTTGGGGTGGAAAAGGGCAATTTTAGGGATTTTTTTTTCTCCCTCCGTGTTAATGAGGCGCAGCGATTGAAATAACAAACGGTCAAAAAAAAAGAAAAGAAATAATTGCGAGCGGCGATGATCACAACAGTAATAACCCCCCCCCGCCCGCGTACATCGTGTACAAACGGGGCTGCCGCCCCTCCACGAAGCACAGTGAGGTTTGAACCCCCCCCCAACCCACCCCAAAGCAATTCGGCCCCGCGCAAATAGCGCGCAATGCCCGCGCAGGGGGCGCTGGGGGGGGGGGGTTGGGGGTCCACCGCCCCCATCGGCCGCGCTCCGCCTCCCCGCCCTACAGCCGAACGCCGCTCTCTGATTGGTCCGCGCCGTGCGGGCCCCACGTGGGGACAGGCCGGGGGAGGGGCGGTGGGAAAACGCGGAGCGGAGCGGAGAGAGCGGAGCGGGACGCGCTGAGCTGAGAATGGGGCAGGACGGGGGGGGGGATGGGATTCGGCCTGGGATTGGGGTTTTTTAATCTATATTCCTTCCGTTTTAAAATTCTCTTTCGATCTTTTTCTTTCTTTTTTTTTTTTTTAATGCTATGTTTATCTGTTTTTATTTATTGTTGTTGTTATTATCATCATCCTCATTATTATCATTATCACAATTGCCCTGCTCGGCATTATCCTGACTGTAGTGTCTCTGGCAGCGCTGCCAGGCAGGGCTCTTTGTGCCAGGGCTCAGCATACGGCCCCATAGCATCATAGGATCATAGAATGGCCTGGGTTGCACAGGACCACAGTGCTCATCTCGTTCCAACCCCCTGCTGTGTGCAGGTCGCCAACCAGCAGCCCAGGCTGCCCAGAGCCACATCCAGCCTGGCCTTGAATGCCTCCAGGGATGGAGCATCCACAGCCTCCTTGGGCCCCCATTGTGCCCCATGCACTGCCCCGGCCCCATTCATCCCCAGCTCCCACCCCCAGCGCTGTGCACCCCAATCCCTGTGCTCCCAGCACCCCAAAATCCCACTTCCCAGCACTGCACGCCCCGAGCATCCCCAGCTCTCAGCACCCAGTGCTGTCAGCACATCAAGCACCCAGCACTGAGCGCTCCGAGCTCCCAGCCCTCTCAGCTCCCAGCACCTCCACCTCTCAATGCTGTGCACCCTGAGCTCCCAGCACCCCGATCTCCCACTTCCCAACATTGCACACTCTCAGCTCCCAGCAGCATGGACCCCCAGCACAAAGAACACCCAGAGCTGTGCACCCCCAGCTCCCAGCACCCAGCACTGCTCTCTCTGAGCACCTGGCACCATTTGCCCCAAGCTCCCAGCACCGTGCAGCCCCATAACCTGATGTCCCAGCACTGTTCCCATGGAGATCCCAGCATCCTGAGCTCCTTCATGACCTGAGCTCTCAGCACCCAGTGCTTCCAGACCCCCATTCCTCAGGGGGTGCAGACACCCACTGCAGCACTCCTCGTTGCTGCACTTTGGCCTCATCACCCTCTCCAGACTCTGCATAGATCTGTTTGCTTTGCACAGCAGGGGAAGGCCCAGGCAATGAGGGGACACGGGGCTGCTGGCTCAGCCCACCAGCTGAGCATCCCTGCACAGTGACACACATCCCAGCCACCCCCATGCTGCCCTGCTCTGCAAAGCAGTGCAAAGCACAGAGTGGCTGCGGCCGTGCTCCTGGAACCACACCATACAAGGCCACGTAGAGCACTCCATTCTGCTCTGGAAATTCAGTTTCACTGTTGCAAATGGAACACATTGCCGAATGTCCCTCCCTTGGCCATATTTGACGGATAAATGCTGATTTTTATTTCATAGTTGCCCTGAAGAGGTGCTCACTCTTTGCCCACTCCCATCCCGGCTGCGCTGCTGAGCAGAGCTCAGGGCCCAGGAGATGCTTTGGGTGGGCTGGTGATGAGGATGAGGGCTCTGGAGCTGCTCAGAGCTGCCCCACACACAGCACTGACACCACACAGCTCCCCATTGGAGTGCAGCAGTGGGGACCATAGGGCTGAGCAGCCGGAGATGAGACACACGTGGAAGTTTGTGCTCTATGGGGCGATGCGGGATGGGACTCCCCAAAGACCCAAAAGCTCTCGGCTGAGATGTGCCACGGTACCAGGCTGTCCCTGGCTGTGGCCATGGCACCCTGAGAGGTTTTGCCCTCCCCCACTCTGCTTAGGGCCAAAGCTGAGCATTGTGACACCATCCTGTCCCGGCAGCAGTGCCGCCTCTTCGGGGAAACCGCTCTTCCCCTTTGCAGCCGGACCCTGCGGGGAAGCTGCAGCCCCGATTCCCAGCACCCGGCTGGTGTGGCTGCACACACCCTGCTGCGGGGTCTGGTGTGGGGGCATGAGAAATGGGGGTAAGAAGGAAAGCAGCGTGGCTAGGCAGGCTGTGCCATCCCACTGCCCCCCACCACTCTGCAGGGAAACACAACCAAACCTGACAAAAAAATGGGTCCCAACCCAACATGCGTGGGGTTTCCACACTTTCTGCCTCCCTCTCCACTTCTGCACACCCCATTAATCCTGCAGGACAATGCCAAAGGCTTCAACACAGCTCCACCTGCCCACACCGAGTTGCCATTAGGATGCAGGGACAGCAGCAGGGGAAAGGAGCGAGGTGCCCACGCACAGCCCAGCCCAGCAGCACTGCCCTCACCCCCTCTCATTTCTCTCCCTTGCAGAGCAGATGGACCCACCAACACGAAGGCAATGTGCTGCTTTGTCACTGCAGCACAGCGTGTTTGCACTGTGGGTGACACTCTGCCCTCCGTGCTGGGCTGGACCCTGCTACCAAATTTCCTTTAGCTTTCAAGTTTATCTAAACAAGGATTTCAGAGCAGGGAAAGCAGTGAGATGCATACTAACAAGGAGGAGAGCCAGGGGGGCTATCAGCAGGTTTGTTTTGCTTGGGGGGATGCTTGGCTTTATCTGCTCTTGGCAGTGAGGATCTGCAGGACGGGCTCCATCCTGCTCCTGGATCGTCCTGCAGCCATAGGGTCACATCCGTGGGGTGGGGGTGGGGAAATCAGTGCCATGGGGAAACCGTAGCACTTCAGCCATTCCCACTGGGGCGCTCTGAGCAGAGCCGCGCAGCAGCACTGCAGCCGTGCGTCCTCCTATGTCCTCTTCGGAGCAAATCCTTTAAGCTGTGATCTTTTTTCTCTGCTCCACAGCAATCAAGACTAAAAGAAGCCGCGAGGGAAGGACATGGGGTTTCCTACAGGGTGCGTGCAGGAGTCTGGGCAGAGCTGTGCCCGCTGCCCTGCTGAGGCCGCACATCACCACGTCTCCATGTGCAGCTCCAGCACCAAGAGCCACAGGGAGGCTTTGGACCTGGTGCAGCCCTGTGCATGGCAATGAAGCACGGCCTCACAGCAGCAGCACATGTGTTGCTTCCACCAGAAAAACTCCCATGACCTCACCGTGCTCCTCAGGATGCGTTTGGGCAGTGCCTGTGCTGCCCTGCAGGGCCTTCCTCCCCATTTCCCCACCCTC